TTATAGCCTATTTATAGCGTTGGTGGATAATATAATCCACTTAGGCTACTTATACATATGGTTACGTATATCTGTTGTATTTTAGCAAATTGAGCCTTCACAAAGACTCAGAGGACTGCCTAGTCTCTCAGCAACTGTTTATTCAAACAGTACTATCTATTTCAAAACCACGCACGAACGAGAACTATCCATTTTATCACTATAACCTTTGGTCAAGCTACTTCTCGTTATTACTAGCATGTGATACATTCTACCAAATTCTGGAAGGAGTTCTGTGATTAATTGCATGATGGATTGTATTATAGATTATACATAACGTTGGTGGGTCACTATAATCCATATAGGTTATGTGCGTGGATACACAAAATGATTGTACTCCAGCTTATTGAGCCTTCACAAAGACTCATAGCACTGTGTCCTTTACAGTGAAAGATATACAATGATAATTGGCAAATCTGTGCGGTCCTATTATAGGACAAATTTTTGGGCACTATAATTGATCACATATTTTAGTAATTTTCTTGGGTGTGTGTGTGTGTTTAATTTGAAGTATTATTTAGCCCCTTCTTTGGGACTTTTTTAACATTATAGATTAAAAGTGATGTTTTATTTAAATTTATTCATAGACCATAACTACTGGTATTCCCCTGTCTCCTTACTATTTCATTACTGCTACCTCCAATTTTTCTTTTTTTCTTTAAATAACTCAATCCTAGGGGTTACCCTCCAACCAGAGGTACCAGTTACTATTTGGCTCCAATCTCTCTTTTTCTCTTTTCTTCTTTTCTATTTGTAATAGTATTACATTCTGACAATATTTATCTGTGGTACTCATCAAATCATTGCCACTAGTGGAACAGACACAGATATTTTTTAATAGTTGTTTTGTATTTTTGTCATGCTTTGTCAATAGTACTATATGTTACGTCCTGTGGTCAGTTCTTGTTTGAGTCCTCGTAGGACTTTTTTAATTTAACTTATTAAAAGCTGTCTTTTCATAGGTATTCTCACATTCCTTTAGTAATCCATTCCTTTCACCAGACGTTGCATCCTCCTCTTTGTTCTATTGTTTGTTTAAGTTTTTATACATGTTTGGAAACACCCCCAAATCACATGAGAATCCCATAAAACATACATCTACTGATAGCCCCGATCTGGGGAAACAACATACTTAAAAACCACCCAGATCAGTTCAGGGGTTCAAAAGTTAGCTGGAAGTCTCTTTTTGACCAACCACACGCATGGTTTTATGCCCAAAACAGTTCCAGAGAATTAGGCTGTGCAGCCAGTCTATTTTAAACAGTTGAAGTATCGTTTGAATTAATGAACGTAATGGTGAATGAACATAGTCAATCTGTGTCCCTTGTTCATGGGCTTCGACTCACTGAACACTGTTCGACTCTCGTTCGAATAGTCAAAGATCCCTGGTAGGTAACAATTCAGCGGTGTTCGTACCGTCGCATGTCCGATTTGAGTTCCATGAACTCGACGACAAAGCACAGCTGAACATGTTCAATCAAATAAGATGGCCGCCACGTGTTCATATGTCGAATGGCGGCCACTTCGACCACTTTGACTACTTCGAAAGTTCGAAGACCATTGTTCCAAGTCCCAATAGGCACAAATAGTATCTGTTACGGTTGCCTCCAGGCTGGCTGGAAGTTGGACCGTAGAAAGGATGCTCCTAGCGTTCACCAAAGGATCATCAGCACCATAGACACTATAAGCACTGCAGACTCCTCGAACCGCCGCTGCTGGGCTGGGATCTCGCCGTCTGCTATCCACCCTGGACCTGTGACTAGGCTCCAGGTTCCAGTAGGTGAACCTCTTCTTTCTGTAGAGTGAAGCAGGATCAGGAACAAGAGCTCTTACAAGAGCTCAGTAGATAAGGGAGTATGAAGAGCATAGCAATCCCTGTAGTGATTATAGCTGTCCCCTGCAAACACGAGTCGAGGCTGCAAGTTAGAGGGTCGAGTAGTTCTGTTTAATGGAAGCAAGCACTCACAATTTATACAATTCCTCAGGCTAGAGTCACACCCCCTGGACCTGATGGAACACAAAGGACACAAATCAATCAAAACAATACAACAATGTCTGACACTCCCAGTCATTACAGCAAAATCTTTCCCTCTTCCTGTGATATAATTACTGCACACAATGGGCTAACGTAATTATCACAGGAAGGAAAATACACAGTTTGGCACAATATTCATAACTTTAAAAGTATACATCACATTCACATAAAACTTACATATTCTAAACCAGCATACACAGTATACAAACATATGTCAAAATCATACAAATTGGTCCAATGGTTCATAAGTTATATGGAAGTCCTTTGTGACCGACTGCAAGCAGCCCAAACCAGTTCCACAGAGTCCTCTATCCTGGAGATAATTGGCTTAACTGGATGTAGTAAGCGAACTATCTCCAGGTACAGAAAATATCTTCATTCACAACAACAGCAAAAATACACAAAAATACATAATTCCTATCATACTGAACAGAACCCCTACATTCAACCTATCCCCAGATGGCTTGGATCTGAGCACTCAATATATCCATACAGCGCTCAGATCCCACAAACACAGTCAAATCGCCATACACACTAGGTCCATATTAATGGGGCAGAAGGCTGGCAATTAGGCTTCTCCATAACACAGGGAAGCAGGGCAATTGGTTGCATAAAATAAAAGTTACAAAAGGCCTTTTGTAACAGTATCTTTAACCCACAGTTCACCACAGGGCCATAGTCACAGGGTAGGAGGCTGGCAAACAGGCCCATCCAAAAACCAGTGGCAAGGTCACTTTTGCCACATCCGGATTTTATGTTTCTAGTTGAGTATTACTCCAAAGAAACCATAGGTGGGGATTATACCACTCATGCCTGATTCATTGAGCAGTCCGCCTGCTCAATTAAATATGAGTAAACACTTTAATATTTATACTCCTACTATTATTATTATTTTATTATTTATATTGCGCCATCAAATTCCATAGCACTGTACAATGGGTGGACTAACAGACATGTAACTGTAACCAGACAACTGGACGTACAGGAACAAAAGGGTTGAGGGCCCTGCTCCATGAGCTTACATTCTAGAGGGAGTGGGGTATAGTGACACAGAGGGTAAAAGTAGGGGTACGAAGTAGGTTGTTAGAAAAGCATTAATTGAGGGCATAGTAGGTAATTTTTGACAGTTGCAGGAGAGGAGTCATGGAGGGTGGGGGATGAAAACCTGCTAACAGTTTCATTGATATACTTTCTTGAAGAAGTGAGTTTTCAATGATTTTTTGAATGAGTGGAGACTGGGTAAAATTCTTAAGGAGAAGGGAAGGGAGTTCCCTGGAAAAGTCTTGGAGGCGATTGTTAGAGGTGGAAGTACGGACAGAGAATATACGTAGGTCTTTGGCAGAGCGTAGGGGCCTCGACGGGACATACTTGTGTATCAGGGAGGATAGGTAGGTTGGGGCAGCATTATGTAGGGACTTGTAAGCAAGCACCAGAATTTTAAATTGAGCCCTATATCTAACTGGAAGCCAATGCAGGGACTGACAGAGCGCTGAGGCGTGAGAGGTGCGGGCAGACAGGAAAATGAGCCTAGCTGCCGCATTCATTATAGATTGAAGTGGTGAAATCTGGGAACACGTAAGGACACTGAGAAGAGTATTACAGTAGTCCAGGCAAGAGAGAAAAAGAGTATGGACCAGCACCTTAGCTGCATCTGGGGTTAAATATGGGCGGATGCGCGCTATGTTTTTGAGATGGAAGCGACAGGATTTGATGATTGATTGGACATGAGGGGTGAAGAAGAGGTTGGAGTCAAAAAGAACACCCAGGCAGCGAGCCTGCAAGGTAAAGGTGATGGTAGCGCTGTTGACTTGTAGGGAGAGAGACACGGGAGTAGTAACACTTGAGGGAGGAAAGACCAGAAGTTCTGTTTTGGACAGGTTGAGTTTAAGGAAGTGAGCAGCCATCCAATTGGAAATTGAAGAGAGGCAGTCAGAGACACGAGTCAAGATGGGCGGAGAGAGATCAGGAGAGGACAGGTAGATTTGCTTGTCATCCGCATAGAAATGATAACGGAAGCCAAAGGAGCTGATGAGTTTACCAAGGGAGGCAGTGTTGATAGAGAACAGTAGGGGAACAAGGACAGAACCTTGGGGACGCCGACAGAGAGTGGTTGAGGGGAAGAGGCAGAGTCAGAGAAAGAAACACTGAAAGAGCGCTGGGAGAGGTAGGAAGAGCACCAGGAGAGAGCAGTATCCCGTTGACACAAAATTACAGAAAATGCGAAGAAGATGTTGATGATCAACAGTGTCAAAGGCAGCAGAAAGATCAAGGAGAATTAGGACTACTATCTTTTTAAACAGTGAGCACTATCAGCTGTCTCTTTTTTAACCATTTTATGGTCTACAAACAGCTGTATCCTATAAGTGGGGATGGTACCGCTGTATGCCATTCATACTAGAGCTGGTTTAAAGCTCTATTATACGTGAGTAGGACTACATTAGACCCTGTTGCCTTAGAAATATCGATTTTTATTGGACTTATTTCACTATCATTCTTTCTTTGTTTCCACATACAGATCCCACAAGTTGTTTCCATCCAGCTCCTACAGAGAACATTCTTCCTAAAAACTGTTGGTTGTCCCTTTGGCAAGATTTATATCAGGAATATTTTTCGCATTATTTGTGTTTTTAGTTTGTGACTACCTACCACTGTTATTAGACTCTTTAAGATATATATCTTCCTCAGTTATAAGTTTTTTTTCCCTATGGTGAAACCTTTCTCTCTTAACCTCAAAGAAGAACTAGTTACATAGTTTGTTCTGTATTTTTTTAGATTTGTTTCCTTGCTTTCCTTGATTACTACTCTAGAATCTGCCTGTGGGGACAAAACCATCTAGCACTTTGTATGCATAATAATAAATTCCCAACCCAACGCCTATCTGCTACAGAATTAGAAAGTATCTGAAGGAGATAGACAGACAGCAAAAATGGTATCAAAACAAAATAAGGCTCTAACTCCAATTAAACATCTTATGGGATCTTCCGCATACTGTAAAGAAGGCCAATTCTTATCGATTGATGAGGAGTATAACTACTTGAAATCTGAGAGAGATTTACATGAAGTGGGATCTGCAATAATATCAAAAATCAGCAAATTAAAGTTTGATCAACTCTTTAAGATGTGTCTGGTCTTTGCAATCACCAGGCTGAGACATGTCACCACTCAGGATTGTCTTCCTGATATTCTGTCCTTAGGTTACTTCAATGTGAATAACAGTGAAAGTTCCAGGAGGCTTTGTTTCTGGAGTGCTGAAGTTATTCCTGATGACATTGAGCAAGCTCGGCAATGGGCTTTTGATTATGTACAACACATGGTGACGGCAGAGGAAGCAGAGCGTTTCCAAGAAGAAATAAAAGGTCAGTTTGCCTCCTCCCCAGCATTCGATAATTCTACCTCTCGTTATGGAAATTTCATGTTCTCCTTCGCACTGTCAGACCTGCTGGAGGCCTATCAACCCCAGCATTGCCAGAATGGAGAACCTCAGCTCAGAGTGCTAGGCACAGAGATGTACACACAGGAGATTGCTCACATCGTTGTTGTCCACAGTCCTGATACTGACCTGTACCATGACCTCCCAAGGGTGGAAACAGTTCCCAGCACTGCAGAGTCCCTGCCTTTTATCTATAGGTGAGAGGAAGATGGGGAACTGTGCTGGAGACCAGAATCAGTGCAAACAGTGCTTTAAGGGTGAGGATTTCTGAAGCATGTGAGATTGAGACAATGTGCGCCCTGTATAATCCATGTTGGTGGTACACTAATAAAGGAAGCTGTTATCATAAAAATACTTATTGTGTGTGGAACCATCTCATAGTAGCTTTTCACCTGCCTGATGGTAAGGGCCTTGGGATCCCTGAAAAACAGATCTTGGAGAACCTGTCTGCCTGTGAGCCTGCAAAGCCCTATCTGAAAGATTCTAGTACAATATTAACAAAGGATAATGCAGACAAAACAATTAAATTAAAGAAAACCCAGTAAAAAACAAATGAAGTGACTCCGCTTTGAACACCGCTGGCCGTTCAGGAGTTTAAAATGGCTGCTGCCACATGTTTGGCAAATGAACAAAGGCCACCCAGCGTTTGTCGATTAAGCTGCGGTTAATTGATGGCACACTCCAGTTCCCAGGTGGTCGATCGGTCGGTAGAAAGGCACGAATAAGCCTTTCTGCACGGAAAATAAAAGGTTTTTAACATGGGGTCATAGTCCAGCGGCAGGAGGCGGGCAACCAGGCTCCTCCAGTGGGCAGTGTCGAGGTTGGTTCCGCCACAGGGATGGAGTCCACAACATCTGGAGTGTCGAAGGTTGCCTACCCCTGCTCTAGTATCGTATAAAACAGAAAGAATAAGAGGGTTATAGAGATTGATTGAACCAGCCGAACAAGCGTCTCATTAGGTTGTATATTTTGAAAACACTGATATGTCAAAACAAAATGGCAGAAGGAATAAATATTCTTGGATTTAGGGTTTATATTTCAGGCATCATGTATTATGTCTCATTTATTTGTGTATAAACTGTTTAATTTGGGTATAAACGGTTTGAGCTAGAATTGTATCAGTTAGAATAGTAATAGAATTCTATTAGCTGTGTTTAATGTTCCTGTCTCTGTAAGTGGATCACTGTCACACATTGTACTAATGACGCATATTAACATTTGCAGTCAGCTCAGTGAATCTCCTCCATTAGTCTGAGAATCAGAATTGCCTTGTATAATAAGCCAAATATGTCTTATTTTTATTGTTATCTTATTTGAACTTGTATAAGGTTAACTTTAAATGTTACTTTAGTACTGTAATGGACCGTTTTGCACAAAAGGGGAAAAAAACGCTTAGACGATAATCCCCCTTTTAGAGACAGGCACAGCTACTGTAGAATCACCAAAACTCACGAACTGAATACAAGTGAATGCACCAAACTCCCGAACTGCATAAAAGGGAATAAGGTAGCACTCCAAACTCCCGAACTGGAACCTCACGAATAGCTGCTAACAGACGAACAGGAAAAGCTCCCAAGCGGCTTACACTCCTGGCAATCAGTCCTTAGCAGCATACAGTAAATCCCCCCAAAGACGAGACAAGGCTCCGTGTTGAAGGTCAAGCAGTGGTCTGTTTAATGAGGGATACCTGCCCAGTATTTATGCAGGTCTCCCACCTGGTGGACACTCCCCTAGGGGACCAAATGGGAGACTGTGACAAGGGACAGACAAGCAGACAAATAGGACACACAGTCACAGTATATTCCCACAATGCATCCTGGCTTCCTCCCCTCTGCCCTGGGAGATAATTGAGAAGTAATTCAATTATCTCCCAAGACAAAGGCAAATCTCCATTATGCACATGGGAATACTAAAACAAGCATTACTGTTAAAATACACCAGGTAAGACACATTACCTTAAAACATATCCCCAGATAGCTCAGGTCTGAGAGCACATTATTAAGTGAATGGCGCTCAGACCACACAAATACAGTTTAATCGCCATGGAGCCAAAGTCTTGAATTCCACGAACAGGCTCCATGGCAGGCTATCTGGGTACTTGCACACCGAATACAATTGCAGCACTAAAAGTCCCGAATGCTCCGTTGTTCGGTTTCCGAACGGGTTTGCAGACTTCCAGCCTCAGCGGGGCTTGTAAGACAAAAGTGTCCGCTTTTGGTGTCCTGCCGCTGGGTAGAACAAGCGCTGGCTACCCGGGGAGCTTCCATAACACCGCCATCGTGTGGCGGCTAGGTGTAACCGCGACCACCCAGTAATTGTCAATTAAGCTGCGGTTAACCGCAGCTTCAGGGAGGTTAATTGCCGGCACACTCCAGCTCCCAGGTGGTCTATTCATTCGTGCGGTTGTTCGGTAGATTGAATCTACCGAACAACCGGCAGAAAAGCACGAATACAGCTTTTCTGCAGGCGAAGCAAAGTCTTTTAACATGGGGCCATAGTCCAAAGGCAGCAGGCGAGCAACCAGGCTTCTCCAATGCAATGTGGCGAGATTGGTCTCGTCACAAGTACAATTATTGGATCATTATGTGGTTATGTAGACACAACACACTTCATTGATTATTAATTGATGAGAATAATTAGCTTACTTAATGTAATGTGTTAGTATTAATGAATTACTAGTCTATAGAAGGGATCTCATTTATAAACTATTCAGATATTCTTCCTGATCTTGGTGATCAACACGGAATGAATGATTGGCATTGGGGTGTAATTTGTAATTTTCTGGCAAATGTTTTTTAATAATTATCCTGCATTGTGGGTTTGTAACTTTTGCTTATTTTTAATTAAACTATTGTATAAATATATTTAATTTCTGAATTTCTGTGGGCGCCTGAGTTTTGTCCTGCAGCACAAAACCAGGATACATCACTGGGCCCAGGACATACTTGAAAACAAGAGAAATCTTGATGTATCTTTCCTGGTAAAATATTTTATAAATAAATAAATTTTACTATATATACAGTGCCTGCTGCTCCCCATGTGACTCCCCTTGTAAAACTATAACTAAACTATTTTTAATATATGGCGGAGTTGCAATATATTACATAAAAGGAATCCCTTTGGTCTGGTAGTATCATTTATAAAAAAGCAAATAAACAAAATAATATTTGTATGAAAGATGGGATACAGGGAAAGTACATAAATATACAGAAAGTTATTACTTTGTGAATGACTTGCAGGGATCCATTTAAAATGTAAATTCTGTAAATCATTTACAAAAATAATGGGAACATAAAATTATTATGTGCAATCCCTTATCTCGCAAAATCACAAACAGGTTCTGAAACCTTAGCATTAGCACATACAGTACATTTGTCCTATTTGTCTCCCGACTACCAAATAGTGCCAGGGTGAGATCTTTAACCTGGCCTATTACCCAGTTAGAATTAGTCACTAGACAATAGCTAGACTGCCATTGTAATTTAGATTACTCTGCACAATATTTACAAAATTAAATCCTAAAACTGCCTTTCATAATAGTACAACTATGTTTGATCGTGATCTAAGCCCCAAGCAAAATCCAGTAAAGGGCTCATTTTTTTTTTTTTTATATTTCGGTTTCTTTTTCTTGAAAGCCGCTCTGGAATGTGCCTTTGGATGTAGACCAACCTCCAATACTGACACATTGTGCGCAGTGAATTCTAAAGCCAACGCCCGTCTGCTACAGAATGACAAAGTACAAGGTTAAAGATAGACAAACAGTAAATGTGACATGACACCAGAATGAGGAAATCATTTCAATTAAAGATTTAATGGAAACATCTGGACTTCGAAATATAAAATGACATTTTAGTAAATGAGAATCAGGAAAGAACAAAACAAAACATTTTTTTTTCCTTCAGTATACAACAAAAAAGAACCATTATCTGTAATTATGCCAATTGGCTGATGCAGACAAAAGCCCTTAAATGGTTACCGTTAATATAAATAATGACCAGATAGTATTCACCTGTTGGTGTATTAAAGGATCACTATAGGGTCAGGAACACAAACATGTATCTAGCTCCACCATCTAGCTCCCCTGGGCCCCTCATGCCTCCATAAATATAGTACAAATTTTACTGTATTCATGCCAGAAGCTGTAGATCTGCATGCTGTAAGACTCAGGAAAAACAAGCAGTCTGCTTACATGTAATAGCCTGATCCAATCACAGTGCTTCCCCATAGGATTGGCTGAGACTGACAAGGAGGCAGATCAGGGGCAGAGCCAGCATGATTCAAGCACAGGCCTGGCCAATCAGCATCTCCTCATAGAGATGAATTGAATCAGTGTATCTCTATGAGGAAAGTTCAGTGTCTGCATGCAGAGGGAGGAGATACTGAATCACAGGATGCTGGTGCACAGCAGATCTGAGTGGATGGAGGCATATTATGCCTCCATCAACTCCGAAGTCCCTCTGGTTCACTCTGAGTGACTGCAACTGGAGGTGTTCTAGCTTTCAATGTAAACACTGTATTTTCTCAGAAAATAAAGTGTTTCAAGAGAAAAGCTGCAGGGAGCTATAGTTCTCACCTGAACAACCTCATTAAGATGAAGTTGTTCAGGTGACTATAGTGTCCCTTTAAGTCCCAGGTATGGTCTCTTAGGACCAACAAGTGTCTGGATTCCCTCCTTGCAGTTAGGGTGTATGGTAGCTTCCGCTGTGTATTTCTGACTCCCGCGAGAGTTGAATTCTCTGTCTCCACGATGTCACCGGGCCCAAACCACCTGGGTGAACAACCTGTTCTGATCCAGAACCTTGCCAATATCTGATCCAGCTTGGTGAGGATATTGACACCTTCATTGCTGGGAGCTAGAATGCACAAGGCGTCCGCCATTACAAGAGTGCTTTGACTCTAGTGAGCCTGATGTCACCACCCTCATGGCTTGCAAAGTGTGTAGTGGAGGCTACGGGGTGTAGACTGGGATCACCACCCCCACCGGTCCAGAGGGGGGAACAGGGCAGCAGTAGGAGTTAGCAGTAGACCCGCATCTAGCAGGTCAGGAGAGTGGCCTTCCCACCTGTCTTTCCCGTCCAGCACACGCACTAGGCCTCACTGCATCCTCCGTGGATTGTAGAGGCATTCCAAATTTCAGAAGCTCCAAATAGCGAGCCTTCAGGGCAGGATAGCGGTGGGTCATGAACAGCTGCAGAATAAGACCCTCAAGGGGCAACAAATATGAGTAAAGCAGTGGCTAGGCTTGGAGCTCTTCCAGAATGTGCCCAACTGCCATGTAGGTCAAGCCCCCCTCCTCTACATTATTCTATTCCCCTTTGTAGTACTATCTCCCTATTATCAGTAATAATTTATTTAGACTCAAGTTGTTAAATAGTTATATTATCTTTCTGTAATACGTGGGGGGAGCCAAACTGTATGCCAATGAAGTGTTATTGTGTTCTAATACAGGGATTCAAGCTCCCATTCTACCCTTAGGCAATAATGGAGTCCTCTGTGAAGCACATGGCCTTTCACCAGGCAAAACCAGTTGGGTTGTTGATAAACTCCTCCTCCATTCCCTTCCAATGCAACCCCCCTTCCCCCAGGAGGCACTCCTAAGGGATTGACTAAGGGAGGTTTGTCCAGCAGAAGGAGGGGCTAACCTGTTTAAAGCCCTGTGAATAGCACATTTTCTGTCTCTTTGAATTAACCTCTCTTCACCTTCTCTCTCTCTCTCCCCTCTCCCCTCTCCCCATTATACACACCCTCTCTCTCTTACTCTCAGCTGACAATCAATGGAGTGGTAACTGAATCACGTGTCTATGTCTGTTCTACTATGTTAATTTAGCCTACTTTCCATTCAGTCAATGATTAGTTTTAGTAGCAACATATTCTAGCCTATTTCAAATGTATATGTATTGATTATTTGTTTAATATTATTGAATTGCCGAAAGCAAGGAGTGTGGACTCTGACTTTACACTCGGTTTTTATTATTATTATTATTATGATATTTATAGAGCGCCGTCAAATTCCGCAGCGGTTTACAATGGGTGGACGAACAGACATGTAGTTGTAACCAGACAAGTTGGACACACAGGAACAGAGGGGTTGAAGGCCCTGCTCAATGAGCTTACATGCTAGAGGGAATGGGGTAAAATGACACAAAAAGGTAAGGATAGTATTCGACTAGTGACAGTTGCAGAAGAGGAATCATTCGGGAGCTATTAACAGTTGAATTGATACGCTTTTATGAAGAAGTGGGTTTTTAATGATTTTTTTGAAGGAGTGGAGACTGGGTGAGCATCTAACGGAGGAGGGAAGCGAGTTCCACAGGAACGGTGCAGCCCTCGAGAAATCTTGAAGGCGAGCATCAGAGGTGGGAGTACGGACAGAAGATAGAAATAAGTCTTCAGCAGATCGTAAGGGCCTAGACAGGACATACTTTTGTATAAGGGAGGATAGATAGGTGGGAGCAGCATTATGTAGAGATTTGAAAGGTTTTATCAGAGTCCATACAGATGTTCAAACGGCTACTAGATGCATACTTGCAAGAACAGAATATTCAAGGATATAATCTTTCAATGTAGGGTAATAACTGCTTGATCCAAGGATAAATCTGACTGCCATTCTGGGGTCTAGAAGGAATTTCTTTCCTAGCTTGTTGCAAAATTGTGCTTCAAACTGAGTTTTTTGCCTTCTTTTGGATCAACAGCAAAAAACAAATGTGAGGAAGGCTGAACTTGATGGACGCAAGTCTCTTTTCAGCTATGTAACTATATGTAACTATATGAAAGCAAGAACCAGAATTTTAAATTGAGCTCTATATTTTATAGGAAGCCAACGTAGGGACTGACAGAAGGGTGAGGCATGGGAGTTATTATTTTAAGTTATTATTTTTAGTTATTAATGTTATTATTAATTCCAAGTTTATTCCAACTTGTGAGTTAAACGTTTATTACACTTTCCTTTTGTGATTTCTACAGTTTGAAGAATTTGTTCTGCAGCTGTAATACCATCTCCACCTAGTGGTGTATGATGATATGACACAGATTTGGTCATTTTTCCAAGCACTCTGTTAGCTTTTACTTTTTGGGAGTTTTTCATGCTGTAATAAAGTTAAGTTGGGAGGGAGAAGTTTATTTGTGACTCTTAATGTCATGCATTAAATAAAAAAGCATTAGCAAATGTAATCAGAGTGAAAAATACGGAGCTAATTTACTAAAAGGTTCACTCTGGATCCCTAAACAACTTTAGCTTGTTAATAAGCTTCATGTCTGAAGTGTGTCCTCTTTTTTCTATTTTGGAAATAGTGCAGATTTATAAATTATTCTGGTTACACTACCCTGGCTTTTCAAGCAGGCGGGTCCTGTTACTTCCTGGTTTGTTTAGCTTAGTTGCATAGAACTCACGCACCTGTCTTGTAAAGACTCCTCATTGAGCTGCATTGGGAAGACCTGTGATTGGACAGCCATAGAAAGTCTGGGCGGGGTTAGAAGGGGAGGACTGGCAAAGACTGTAGACAAGAGATCTATTATTAAATAAACCCACAATGTAAAAAGCATAATTAAATGCACGGATGTTTTCATTTGCATTTAATTATTATTTACTTTTTATTTATGTTGTATTTAGGCAGTGGAGTGTCCCTTTGAAGTGCAAAAAACTTACTAAAGTTTGTAGCGTCCTGAGGATGGGTGATAATCTTGCCTTATCACCATACAGACCAATACAACAGACATTTTGCCTGCCACGCTTTGACGGTTATATTACATTCTATAGTTAGAACATTATTGTATCTTTATTTTAT